ATTGCCGGGAAGTCTTCCTGTCTTAGTGAATCAATTGCTAGGAGGTCACCCTATAAGAAGGGAACTAGTTGCTAAGAGATCACCCCGTAATAATGAACCATTTACCGGAAGGTCATCTTATTTTAATAAACCTTTTGCTAGGCGATCACCTTGTCCGAGTGAACCATTAGCCAGGAGGTCACCTTATCTTAGTGATCTATTTGTTAGTAGGTCACACTTTCATAGTGAACCATTTGCCATGAGGTCCTCCTATCTTATTGAACCATTTACTAGGAGGTCACCCTATCATAGTGAATCATTTGCCGGGAGGTCAACTCTGTCATAGTGAACCATTTGCTAAGAGGTCACCTTGTAATAAATGACCTATTTGTCTCTTTTTAACCATGTCTCTTCTCCACAAGTAATTCATTCACGAATGTTTAAATGGTCACCCTATCAAGATGAATAGTTTTGTAAAAAAAAAAAAAAATTCAGGTGGTCACCATACCGAGATGACCAAGTTTGAAAAACATCTAAGTTGTTATCTTATTGAGATGATCGATTTTTCAAAAATGTTGAGGTAGTCACCTTGTCGAGATGACCAATCTTTCTTTTAAGAAGATCATTCAACATCCTAAGAGGATTCGTATATTTCTTCACTTATGAAAGTTCATATATTTGATGGACTCACTTTTCTAAAATCAAATTACTCCTAAAGTGTTTGTATATTTGATTCATTTTCTTTTTCAAAATCAAATCACTTCCAAGAAAGTTCATATATTTGATTGGTTTTCTTCCAAAGAGCGATCATACATTTGATTCCTTCACTTTGGGAGAGTTCGTATATTCATGTATTTTTAAAAATCAAATCAACCTAAGGCGGTTCGTATATTTGACTCATTTTTAAAATCAAATCACCTTAAGATAGTTAGTATATTTGATTCATTTCTAAAGTCAAATCATCCATATGTGGTTCATTTCTTTGAGTTTGTCATTTTTTATCACATCTCTTCTTTACAAGCTCACTAAGTCAAGATGTTCAAATAATTGTCTTCTTACATCTTAGACGCATAAGCATTGTAAAGAGAGGGCAATTGTCATCATTCTATTTTTACCCCCATAAAGAAAATACAAAAAAAAAAAGAAAAAAAAAGAGAAGAGTAAAAAAAAGAAAAAAAGGAAGGAATTATGCCTAGATCGGGATTGAAAAAGGAAAAAATGGAATGGGCCCGAATTAGGCGTTAGGCTAAGCATGATCGAATAGAAAAAAAAATCCTAAGTTAACTCTAGAAGAACTCTTATAAATACTAGGCAAACACACACAAAAAAGAAGGAAAGAGGCCGACACCTAAAAGAGGAGAAAAACCTAGCGAGCTTGAAAAGAAGCAAAAGACAACGATTGAATGAAGTCATCGTCGCTCCCAACTAGTCGACTTCCGATCAACACATGCCAAACCACCCGAATCATCCATTAGAGATGATTGCAGCCCCACTTAAAATGCTCCATTAAGATGACAGAGAAGCCTTCACGCACCTCCCAAAGTTTCACCATTGTTGTCGCCCATAGATCTAGTGTAGCCACTGTTGCTTCCAACCGGTCGACTTTCGACCAACACACTCCGGATCAATTGAATCTTCCATCGGAGAAGATTGCAGCCCCACTTAAATGGCTTTATTCCAATGACGGACTAGCCCTCATGTGCCTCCCAAAGTTCTCGCCGTTAGTGTTAGCCATAGATTCGGTTTAGTCCCCGAATTTTAGATTTAGGTAATTGCACCCTTGCACTTTCATGTTTCGATTTGATTTTCATCCGAATTTTATGATTTTTCCTAGTTGTTTTTATATTTCATAGGATGGTAATGCTAATTATGTGATTGACGATAAATATTGGTTTGATTATTGAATGCAAAACTTTTGATTAGGGTTATAATTGAAAGATCCGAAAACTCGAATACTAGGTTATATGTGATAGAATACAAAGGATTCAAATTCACATTGTTTCGAGTGTGTTATGTGTTTTAATATTAAATCGGATGGGAAATAGTGGATTAGTGATTTTTTTTTTGTTTTTAATCTTGTCTTTTTTCGTTTTAGTTTTATTTTTTTTATCATTATTTTCAATAAAAAAGGGGTTTTTTTGACATATTATATCGTTTATTTTTTTTAATAAGTCCTTGAGGAGTTGTCGGTCAATGATAAAGCTAGCAATAGATTAGCAATTTTTTTTTTAAAATAAAATAAATCAAATTTGAATTTATAGGCCGAGGACCTTGTGGAGGCCTATGGCTATTTTATTTTTTATGAAGTCGTTTTTATGTGATCTCGTGATTTTTTATATGTTTTTATGTTTACACTTTATATGTTTATTTAATGCGATGCTAATCTAGGTTAGTCTAGATGCGGTAAGTTTAGGACCCGAGATTGACTTTTTTTCAATGATGGGCCTATTTCTTTTTGTTTTTAAATTTTTATCGCTATTGTTTATTACTAATTTTAATCATTTTTTTTATGCTTGCTACTAATTTCTTCTTTTTACAGATTTACCTTTTAATTTGGCCTTGAATCCAATTTTATATTTTAAAATGGCATGACGAGTGATATGGGCTTGAGGTCGATGTCCATTTTTTTTAGTCATTATAGACTTGTAACTTTATCTTCTTTTTATTTTTTTATAGTTTGGCGGATGAATTTAGGCTAGGGCTTATGTTTATTTTATTTTTTATTTTTGTGTTTCAATGGGATTAGAATTTAATGTGCCATGGGCTTTTAGCCTAAATTTTTACCCTTTCTAAATGGGCCTCAATAGCCCAATGACATATTAGATAAGAGATCGAGTTTTATTTTAATATCTAAATCACCTTTCTTAGGATTTGATTAGAAAAAGACCCAAATAGTCAAGCACACAAATCGGGATAGAAAAATAATTTATATGAATGAATTCTTCTAAACTGAAAACACAAGAAAACCTCATTGCGAAGGCATTCTAGGGTGATTGTAATCTTCCCCAGTAGTGTAATCAACCCCCTTACTTTGAACTCTTGAGACTAGTGCTAGGATTTTCTTAGTTTTCATATTTTTGAAAACCGAGTGGCAACTCCACATTTATAGATAACATATTTATTTTTATTTATTTTTGCAATCGTTGAGAGGTCACCATGTGACAATATTGACAACATATGTCTACTCATTTAAATTTTTACTATGGTTGAAGATTGAATTTTTGCCTTCACAATGGTGGTTAAAGCATGCTTAGTGAATGTAGATTTAGACACTGGAGTTTCTTGTGCTTGTATTTGGGGATGGCAATGGAGGTGGGTTGGCTTGGCTTGGCTTAGGTTTAGCACAAAACCCCCCACCACCCTAATATTCTTGCCCCTTTTGGTACTGGGTTTGATTCATGTTTTCTTGGGCGGGAATGATGCAGGTCAAATATCTTGCACATTTTTTTGAAAAAAAAATTATTTAATAATAAAAATATTCATCAAGTATAACTTGAAAAAAAAAAAACTAAAATAATAAAAAATCATAAAAATCTATGATTTATGCTTTGAAAAATCTTATAAAATTATTGTTTAACAGGGAAAATATTTCAAAAATTTCAAATATAAATCATAAATGAAAAATGCTAGTATATATTTATACCCTGTTCCCAGTAAAAATAAAAATAAAAACTATAATGGAACGTGCATGTTACATATTTTTTCGATTCTTCTGATCATATGGTATCTTTATATTAGTATTTTGCATATCAAAATCTAATTGATATATTTTTTTAGAGTAACTTGAGAACTGATCGCCTTTCGATACTTTCGATAGATACGAATTGATCTTAAAATTAGAAATTTTAAAACTAGTCTCCCACACTTTTGAAACCAGAAAAAAATATATAAGTCTTGCAATGGCTGCAAAAGGAAGTTGGAAATTGGATTTGAATCTCAAACCTCTTGTTAAAAGTTTCAAGATGGGATGTTTGTTGTTTAGATTTAGCAACTTCTGTGACAGCATCACTCCTCAAATTAAGTGAGCTTGAGAGGAAAAAGAAGAAGAAATTTTAGCTTCCTAGATTATCTGTCTTTTCAAGAGTAGCTATCTGAATCGTTTTTATCTGCTAGCTAGCACGAGTGATCTTAAACGAACCAAAAAGAAAAGCCACGTATAAGCAAAAACTGCTAGTATTCTAAATCGTGTATGTTTGTGTGTATATATATATATATGTGTGCGCGAGCGGGTGCGTGTGCTCTTTTATTGTTTTTTTTTTGCAAGTAAATTAAAATAACACACAAATATACATTGATATATCAACTTTATTTATATGATAGAAATCCTTCAGACAAAATAAGATAGAACTAGCATAATCATTGGCCTTTCAACAGTGATTAAGCTAGTTATTAGTAAAATTCATACAAAAAAAGAAATCCTTACAAATTAAAGCAGTGGCAATAATGTTGATATCTTATCTAGGTAGAATAAATCCAGATTAGAATGACCAGCTAATTAAGGACTGATCATTTCCAATTTAAGTAGGGCACACATGACCACAATACTGTCAGATAATATTGCAAAGTTTTATTTCTGGATTACATGTATATCAAAATACACCAGTGCTCCATTTCTTTTACCTGCATCAATAATGCGAAAAACAGTATCAAGCCAATATTCAGCATTTAATTAAAGGAGCATGTGCTTTTCCAGCATTTAATATTAGTAGTGAAAATGCAAAACAAAGACAAGATAAAATGGAAAAAAAGATGATTACCCAAGATGGAGAATTTTCTTGTCAGTGTGTGGGTATGTAGTTCCACCCTCAAGAAAATGTGGAGCAAAGAAATTGCGAGAGGCTGCTAATGCCTGGATTGCATTCATCTCTGCTCCAGTGACCATGTTGGCTTGTTGAAGCCTCTCAACTTCTGCGATCTTAAGTTGTTAAGAATAAAGTTTAAGTTAATCATTTGAGTCAATTAATGCTATTATCTTTGTTAAAGATATAGAAATAAATATCAACAAAAGCCTCACTAACAACTCAAGCATAAGAGGATTTAGTTTTCTTCAATACCTTGGTCCTAAGACAGACACTTTCATTTTCCAGCTCAATCTCCTAAAAAGAGAAGTTTAAATTAGTTTGAACATGAATCAGTCAAAAAGAAGTTCCCAAAATATAAAATGAAAGCAATCGAGAGCAAGATAGAAATTACCCTTTTCTGCAAATACTCAATTTCAGCTAGCAGCAATTCATGCTGTTGCAACAGACAAGTTGAGGAACAATTATAATTGAGGACATATAAAATACTATGGTACTGCAAATAAGTTGAAAAAAAAAAAGACGACAAAAAGTAGGCAAGGATCATAAAAATACTACTTTTGCACATTGGAACTTGTATAATCATATTATTAAGAAATCAATATATGTTAAATGTGATTAAAACATTTTACATTTTTGCTTCCAACTGTATCACATTTTACCTTCTTTGACCTGATTCTAGTAATGCCTCTTTCAAGCCTATTCTCCAGCTGCTTTAGCTCTTTCACTGATAAATTACTCACGGCATCGCCCATTAAGTGCCTACAAGAAAAAGGTGAAAGCATGAGCAGCACCATACTGTTATGAAGAGTGTGTAAATTAAAGGATCATTCAAGCCATGTATGGGTTCCAAAATCTTAATAAAGTCATTTAGTACTTCTCTTATAGGCCATGGATCAAATCTCAGTACACCTAGAATGGGAGGGATTATGGAAGGAGACTAGTCTGACAAAATCATTTAAGCTAAACTTTGCATCATAAATTCACATGTTCAGTTAATATTGAACAATTTAAGTGAGATATTTGTACACAGTTCTCCATTTATTAAGAATAAATCAAAAGTACACCATATGTCCCATAGTTTTAAAGTTTGTCCATTTTAGGTTACAACCTTAAAAATTTCACCTTTAACCCTTTTTTTTTTTTTTCAAGAATTGAATTAGTTAGCCATTTGCATTGAAGCAAAAACAGAAAAAAGAAAAAAAAAAATTGAAGACACAGTGGAGATCGTACCTGTTAGAATTCTGTAGCATTTGAATTTGTTGCCGCAGCTTTGCTGATTCTTGTTGATAATACTATATTAATTTCATCCATCGTGCATAATCAAGGATAAGTAAGTTAGGCAACAAATTAAGCAAAAATTAAAGGACTTGAAATTTTAACTGTTAAAATATAGAGAAGAAAAAGCATACCTGGGCATTGATTTCAGTGATGGAGGTTGTATTTGAACCATCTGAACTGGCCTTTTTGTACCTATCTATAGTTGATCTTATGCTGCTACAAAAAATAAAAAAAGTTTCCAAGTTCAAATAACAAAAGAACAAGACAGGAAAAAAATGCAAAAGAATCTGAGAGGCATAGTTAAGTTTTATATCATTACTGTTTCAAACTTTTTCCCAAGCAGAATTAGGGTTTCAAACTTGATCATGAACATATCGATTTCTTTTCACCATGTTAATTAACATGCATGAAATATACAACTCTGACCTAATGTTTAATTTACAATTGAAACTCAAATCACTTGAAAAATATCGAGAAATAATGTAAAGGTACTAGTCGAATGAAAACTAGCTCATGAAAAAGTTGCTTTTACAGCATTTCCTAGTCAACTGACCCAAACCTAGTAAATATCATACTCTGTCGTGTGTGATTTTTATGTGCAGAAAATAGATAAAAAGAGACATAACAGTGAAGCATCTATCACTGTTATTGTCAACTTTACAAAGCAGCTCAGTTCATATCTATAGAGAACAATATTATTCCATTCCATTCGTATAGTTTCTTGCACCTCATGCACCCAAGTTAACTATTACGAAACCTATCCTTGACTTTTTACTTTGCATCACTAAAATGAAGAAACCCTAGCAAAAGTACTCTTTTTACTTTTCTGCTTCATTTATTACCCTCAACATGAAAATGGAAACACAAAAGATAACTAAGGAGACTAATGAAAGTAAAACATCCTTTTATGGTGAAGAGAACTGAGAGAAAATGAGATTCTAGATTTGCCTTCAGTACTATGGGAAACAAGCGTAAGATGGGGAAATTCTCAAAGCTGAAAATGGAAACAGGAAGACCAAAAGAGATGGGATTTACAAGCAATGAAATAGGAAAAGATCAGAGATCTGCTTAAATACTGTGCTGTGAAGTGTATAGATTGTAATCGATTACACCAATAAATAAGAGAAAGGAGGTACCTGTACTTGATGATATGGACACCAAACTAATTCTGTATTAGTTGGCATCGTTTTCTGAGATACAAGTCCAGTTGTGAGTTGAAACTTAAATTTTTTTTTTTTTTTTTTGCTAGCTAGTTCAGTAGCCAGTGAAAGAACAGTGTATAACTGAAGAATGATTTCTTTTTTGATCATGGGAGAGGAACTCTCTTTAGTTAAAGAAAATCAATTATTGCTTACCAATTCTTTGGAGTTATAGAATTAGAAGTATTTAAAACGTCCAATTTTTTATACTAATGAAACTTAAAACTCTTCTAGAACTTGGATCACGTAAAGAGTACCTTTTTTTTATAATGAGATCAGAATTTTATCATAATTAATAGAAAACAAAAAGAAAAAACTACAGTACTATATATTCCAAAAAGAAAATGGCTCCCTAAACAAGACTAATTAAGGAACTAGAAACGCAACCCAAAAGAAGCACAACAAAGAGAACAAACCACCTGCACATGGATCAAGCCAAAACCAAAGGCGGGAGCAACTAAAGCGAAAGGAAACAGACGAAAGGGCAAAAAACAGGAAACAATTATATATATATGAAAAATGTAAAGAGTGGAAGGGTTGTTTGTAACTTCTAGATCACGTATAGAGTTATTAATAACTTTTTGTTTTTCCATTTCAATTTGGGATTGAATAGAAAACATTCGTTATTAACAATAAATTTTTTTTATCATGATCTGAACTATAATATGAAAATTCACAAAAATTAGTGGACTTGCATGTGGTTAATTGCGAATCGATTTCAATAGATTTTTTTTCTTGTCAAAAACACTTTAAATAGATTTTTGCAACGGAAAAGTGTAAAACATAAAGAGCATATTTCTAAACTTGATTTAAGAATTAAATTACTTTAGAGATGTGTTCAACACAGATACTAAAAAGGATTGAACAAAAAACTAAAGGTTATAATGGGACTGATCAAATTCAGTTCAGGTTTCTTTGTAGGAAAGACAATGGCAAATGTATCTCCCAACGTGCCTTTCCGCAAGGACCTAAAACAGACTTTTCTACTTCGTTCATGACTTTTTTTTTTTTTTTTTTTTGGTTAGAGCATATTCAGTCCATAAGTGAAAGTTAAGTGGAGAAAGATAATAGACCATTAATGAAGCTTTGAAAAAAAAAAAAAAAAAAAGAAAAGGAAGAAAACAAAGAATATGTCTAGCTTTGTCTCCACTTTGAGCTTTCATTTTTTGTTTGTCTTCATAGTCTAGTTTTAAAGTCTCTCTGATGGAATGCGAGAGTCCTAACAAAAGATATAAGTCTAAGCTGGTGTCAGTGAAAGCTCAAAGTGGAAACAGAAGGTAATGAAAACTGAGAACCCATACTAGCAATGGAATGGGAAGGGATCAGGCTGAATCACTTATAGTACTGTGTCTGTGCTATGCATCATGGATCCTCAAATACTGCATCACCAAAATGGGAAAAAGAGAATCAAGACAGTAGGGAGGGCTTGCTTTACAATCCCAGGTCTTGATGCATGGGAAGTAGAGTTCTGTAAGAGATTAGAAAGAACTTATTGCTTTCTTTTCATTAATTCCTGGCAAGTCTCAGCATGCAACTGTTACTATGCATGCTTGTTACTATCATCATCTATTGTACCTTTATGTGTCGTTGTTGTTCTTGTTGATAAATTTGTAATTTTTCTTCAACAGGATGGCAAGCATAGTTTCAATTCTTTGTTAAATTCATCTTATTATTTATCATCTAATTCATGGAAGCCCTAAACTTTGAAACCTTAAGACCCTTATTGACAATTTAAATAAATGGGGTGGATTGAAAAAACACGACACATGACTCTTAAAAGAGAATAGTACTTATCATGGACTCAGTTAGCTAGCATACCCATATCAATATCATCTTTAGCACACAATGGTAGTGAATAGTCGTTATAAATAGTAAAATAACATATGGCAAACCTAAAATTAGGAGCACTTAAAGATTTCAAATCTTTTAAGCATCTTTCTTTCGAAAATCATGATTTCAATTTTATAAACAGCCAAAATGTGTATTATCAGTACTATTTATAATTAGATTCCATTACATTAGATATGTGAACGAATACACATGGACATTAGAGACAGAGAAACTCATGAAATAATAAGAGCATGTATACTCAGATGATGCAGATAAACCACTAAAAGGAGTAGAAAGAAAGAAAGAAAACACATTTGAAGATGGTAGTGAAATCATGAAGAAGTAAATTCTTTTTAGATTTGCAGTATGTTAGATTCTTATTTAACATATGGGTTCGGCTCCTCTCAAGTTAGGGATAACAGAAATGACTTAAATTATACTCTCATTTATATATTTTTTTCAAAAAAGATTTATATTCTCATTCCTGTGATTAAAAATATAAAAAAAACATGGCTTTATGCTCCAATTCCTCTGATAAACTATCTGTAAACTAAAGATAATATCAGCATAAAGAAGGAAAGGAACATATCAGTGTCAGTCAACTAAGATCTAAGTCAAATGGTCTGACATGACAAACAACTCGAAAAGCCAAAACTCACAGACAGTTTACATTATTCCTAATATTTCAGCCTTCACTGTCTCTTCTTCTAAAAATAGATGTTATTTTATATCATGACAAAAGAAACAAGGCCTAATGAATTGTGAAAAATGAAAATCTAAAGATCCAAAAGGAAAAAAAGAACAAAGTTTAGGGGAGGGTAAAATTACTTGTTGTTGGCGTACTCATAGAGACGGCCACGGCTGGAGAAGACGATGAGGGCAACTTCAGCATCACAAAGGACTGATAATTCATAGGCTTTCTTCAACAGCCCATTTCTCCTCTTGCAGAAAGTAACCTGACGATTCGTAGTGTTCTCGATCCTCTTGATCTCAATCTTTCCTCTTCCCATGTCTACACAAAAGATCAATTCTTTCTCAACACAAAGCAGCTTATATGCTCTTATCACTAAAGCAATTTTTTAACCTAATTGCTAGCTGATCTGACCTTTATACATGTCATGTATACAAAAAAAGAAAAAAAAAAAGCATGGAATAGCTAGGTAATTGCAACAGTCTGGGAAAGACTAGTCAGTAAAGGGTTAAAAATTCCTTTTATAGAGAGTAAATTAAGAAGATGGGACAAAAAAATAAAAAAATAAAGTATGTATTATTCCGGTTAAGGGTGTGCAAATCTGTTTCCAAGAATTTCACTTGCATTCTTCCTATGCTAAATAAAGTGAAAGAATTTTTTCTTTTGGATGAATTAAATCAACAAGTTGAGGCTACGATCTCCCAAAAAAAGAGAGAGAAAAAACAAAGTAAGAAACTTGATTTCTAGAATAAGATGAGAAGAGATCGAGAAAATGTTTAAGAAAATTGTCAAAAAAGAACTACGAAGAAACTAATATTAGAAGCATCGAATGTTCTATAAAGATCTATAAAAAAAAATGATTAAGAAAGGGAAGAAATGGGGATGGGAAGAGATCGTGAGCAATGAGGTTTAGCTCAAAAGATCTAGCTAGATAAGTAAACCACACTAAGAAATATGAAGAAGGGCAACAAGAAAAGATATATATATATATACACACCCTATGATCAGATGAAAATCACAAAAGAATCTAGCATGAGTTAAACAAGATTTGATACTAGTTATTTTACAATACTAATGAGTGCATGTCCCATTTCCCGTCACTTGTCTTTCTTATTGTGTCTCTCTTCTCAATTATATATCCAGTCTTGAGGGGACAATAACTCAGATCAGCAAAAGTTGATGGTGATTATAGATTTGGCGGAAGTGAAAATGAAATGAATTGCCTCACCTTAAGTGCATGACTTAAGATCAGCTGATCCAGCAGCTGAACTGAAGAGAAAGAACTTCAAAGACACATCAAAAACAGAAAAGGGAAAAAAAAGGAAGAAAGAAACCCTTCTCTTTAATCTTTTCTCGTTCTAAACAGTACTATGTTTCTTCAATTTTATATATTTTTTAATATAAAAGTAAAACACAAAGAGGGAAAAGATCAGATGAAGAAAGCTTGATGAA